ACAAACACCACCACCACACACACACACACACACACACACACACCACCACCACCACACACATACCACACACACACACCACCACACACACACACACACACCACCACACACACACACCACCACCACATACATACACCACTACACACACACACCACACACACACATACACACACCACCACACACACACACACACACACCACCACCACCGCTGATTTTAAAAGTGAGGTTTTATCTCTGATTATTGCCAAAGACTAATGAAAAAAAGAAAAGCTAAGCAGTAATTGGTGATTTAAGCTTCAACACTGCCCTCCAGTTAATCTTAATTCTAACTGTGAGTTTGAAAACATTTTTTGAGACAAGGTTTCTCTGTGTAGCCCCGACTGCCCTTGAACTCTTGAACTCGATCTGTAGACCAGGGTGGCCTTGACCTCTAACTCACAGAGATCCGCCTGCCTCTGCCTCCTGAATGCTGGGACTAAAGGCAAGGCGTAGGCCACCTCTGCCTCCTGTCCCAGAACTAGCTCTTGTAGACCAGGCTGGCCTCGAACTACCTTTTCTTTCTTAGGGTCTCACGTGGCCCAGGCTAGTTTGGAAGTGTAGCCAAGGATGACCCCAAGCTCCCGGGATTGCGGTGTCTGCCGTCCACGGATTTATGTGGTACACTACCATCTGAGCTCCAGCCCTGGCCCAGACCTGTCCTTGTGATCCTCACCTCCATATGTCGGGTCCATTGCACCAAGTCTGGGGCTCTGTGCGTCTTACCGTCTCCTAGGAGGAAGAACCAAAAGGGGGCACCCAAGAGGGCAGAATTAGGGTAGAGCTGACCTTGATCTGGAAAATGCTTTCTGTGTGCTCACTAGCCTCTCTGTTTCCAGGCAATATTTAGAGCTGTGAGTGGAGTCGCAAGAAGGGGGAGTGATGTGTGCAGTGAATGAGGCCATTGGCTCTGATTCCAGAGCCTGGTGCAGTCGCTGGAATCAGGGACGATGTGCTCCATTCACCCTTAGAGAAGGAAAGGCCGCACTCTGAGCATCTCTTTCCTCCATGCCAGTCTGAGTGGGAATAGCACAGAAACCTCTGGCTTCCCAGGTAGCAAGGAAGGGAGTTTCCAGCGGCACAGCTCGCTCTGCTAAGCAGGACGTCTCACCTCAGGTTGGCGGGGGTGGGACGGGGGCTCACCTTCTCCACAGACTCCCTTCTCCTGCGTCTCTCCCACCCCTTCTCTTCTCCGCAGTTGGGACCTCGTTGACTCCATGGTGGCAGTCTGGAATGGACAGTGGGCAGCGGCTGTCCGCCTTTTCCCTTTCCTTCTCAACCTACCTCATAGGTTGAGCTCTTACCCACTCGGAGATCTGACAGCTCCAGAGACTAAAGTCCTTTCTGGAGGGCGGGGGTCAGAGAGGTTATCTCTCTGTACTCAGGGCCTCTCAGGTCCTGGCTCTGCTCTCCAGCCTCTCTACCCTCAACCACAATGGCCAGCTTCATGCTTGCTATCTCGCTTTTAGGAGTGAATCTGAGCCTGAGGCTGGGAGGGGGACTTTGCCTCCTGGTGCTTATCACCTGGGCGCCTCCTGGCCCTCTGTAGGGAGGCTGAAGGTCAGGGAGGGGCCAGAAACGTCTTCCCGTACCTGGTATTCAGCTCTCTGAGGGCACTTGATGGGGTCTGTAGGTACATGTGTATAATGATGTTTTGTTGAGGGCTGTGTTTGTGATGTGTGACGTTGAGGTCCTTCAAGTTATTCTAGGCAGCAAGGCCCCTGAATGTCAGCTCTTCTCTACACCTTGGGTTACCACGTAAGCAGAAAGGTCAGACTCACACTTATTCACTACTGAATAGTGCCCGGGGTTGTGATGCTTCCCTTTGCCGTCCCCTGCCCATGGAACTGCAGGAAAGTGGCCAAGGCCCAGGTAACCGCCAGCACAAATAATCTGGGGAAACACACGGAACCTGAACACCGGTAGAAAGGAGGGCAGGTAAGCACTTTGAGACTTCCCTTTTGGCAAATTCCTGCTGGGGATTAACCATTAATCTTCCTCCTCCATCAGTCCAAAGATCAGCAATAGAAACAAGGTTGCAGCCACCAGAACTTCACCAGCAGCCAGATGCTACAGCAGGTGGTGATCTCAGCCAGTCCCCCACGTGGGAACCCAGGTGGGTGTCTGGTGAGGCTAGAGGGTGGGAGGCCCACACCAGTGGCAGTCTGCTGCATTGCTAGGGGGATGGAAGAACTGACAGGGTCTATGAGTAATGGTAGACAGAGAGCCTGGGTCTCCAGAGCTGTAAGGGATGGACACACAGACATAAACCAGAGACCCCAACACAGCTTTATTAGTGCCCCAAGTCAGCATTTTTTTCTAGCTAGATGTGTCAAAGCCGAGGGCAAGGGGAACAATGGGACAGGGCCTGAAGGCTGGTCTTGGGGCACAAAGCCCGGGTGACCATCACTCCACTCTCAGACGACAGCCCTGTGCTCTTGCCAGTGTCCTGGAGGCTTCCACCCTGCTTTAGCCACTGCCCCTGGCAGAGCACTGAGAGCCTCCATGGCCATCTGGAGACCCTGGCAAGGGCCGGCCCATTGGATCCACACACCAGCAGGGACCACGGCGATTCCCCTGAGAGGAACGGCACTGGGAAGAGAAGCACAGACCAGGGTGAGGTCCAAGGTTTCGAGCAGGAGAAACATCTCAGAGTTAAGAACTTTACCAAGTAACTAGAGCCCCATCCTGCTAGGCTAGAACAATAGTTTTCAAAATGTAGTTCCCAAATCAACTGCACCTGCATCCCTTTTGGGTTAGAAATGGGTGTTCTCAGCCAAGAGGGCTGAGTCAGAAAGTGCGGCCTGGACTTCAACAGCGCATATGCCTCCAGAGGGCTTTCACTTGACAGCCATGGCAAGGCCTCTGTGGAGAGGCCACTTTGGGTCTTCTACTGAAATAGTTGACCTTTGACGGTTTCTTTTCTTTCAAATCATATTTCTTTTTATTTTACTATTTATTTTGAGACGGAAGCTCAGTAAGTTTGTAGGCCAGGCAGGCCTTGCAGTTACAAGCTTCCTGATTCTTTTCATGTCTATGTGGGTCTTCAAGTTGGAAGATCCCAAAAGGCAGGGGAAGTAGCTTATGTGGATGTCCTGGTTTGTTGTTTGTGTTTTTGAAACAGGAACTCGCTCCTAGCTTTCCATCATGTACCAGCAGACCAAAGCATCCTTTCTGTATCTTTGTTTGCCACTTGTTAAGTACCCCTTCTCACTTCCTGCCAGGGACCTAGCACAGAGGAGAGGAGGCCTCTTTTACCTGCTGCTTTCTGTAGAAGCCTCTGAGGTCACAATTTGGCACATAGAGCCCGGGTGACCCCCCTCGGAAGACCTCAGTCTGGAGGTTTTGCAGTATGGAATCCAAGTGTCTGCGGCAAGGACCCTAGAGAGGAACAGGGGTGGGTGGGGACGGTGCTCAGAATTGCAGGAACCTGCCTGGTCCAGACTTCCTTAAGTCTGTGGAGCAGTCTCCAGTGGAAATCTCCAGCCTGCTGCCTCCCTGCCAACCCTACACGCACCATCTCAGTGTCTTGAACAGCCCCTGGATTGGGCCTTATAGGGGTGGTGGAGGTCCCTGGATTCTTCTGCCGGTCTCTGTGGCTTGTATCACGTTGGCGGGAGGCACCTCCATGGGGTTTCCTTTCTTTTATAGTCTCCTCTGTGGCCACAGGAAGAAGGGGAGAAGAAATCAGAAGTCGGCCAAGGCCAAAGACTAGCTCTGCAATAGCCTTGGTCCCTCTCTGCTGGTTAAAGTGAGAGCAACTGCTGGATTTATGAACTAAAAGTAGCCAGCTTTTTTCTCCTAGTCTTACTCTGGCTGCTATTTCTTCCTCTAAAAAATAATTATTCTGTGGGTATGATGTTGGAGAAGTTATTTTAAGGAGTTACTTTTTTAAAAAAATTTATTTATTATGTATACAACATTCCTTCCATGTATGCTTGCAGGCCAGAAGAGGGCACCAGATATCATTATAGATGGTTGTGAGCCATCATGTGGTTGCTGGGAATTGAACTCACGATCTCTGGAAGAGCAGTCAGTGCTCTTAACCTCTGAGCCATCTCTCCAGCCCCCAGGAGTTACTTTTTTTAATGTTGTATTTGTTTAATTCTGTGAAGCTGTGATACTTTGCCTGTCTAGAACACCTGATGGTCTAGTAAAACCTGAAAGCCAATAGCACGGCAGGAAAAAGTGTAGGCGGGGCTGGCAGGCAGAGAGAATATATAGAAGGTGAAAACTGGGAGAAGAGGTTCTGGAGAAGTAGCAGCCCGAGAAGGAGGAGGACACCAGGGGCCAGCCATCCAGCTACACAGCAATCCACAGAGGAAGAATAAGATTTAAGGAAGTAAGAGAAAGGGAAAAGCCCAGAGACAAAAAAGTAGACGGGATAATATAAGTTTAAGGAAAGCTGGCGAGAAACAAGCCAAGCTAAGGCCGTATGATTACAACTAAGAATAAGCCTCCATGTGTGATTGATTCATTTGGGAGCTGGGTGGCCGGCCCTCCAAAAGTCCAAAGAGCTCAGCAGCCGGGCGATGATGACGCATGCCTTTAATCCCAGCACTCGGGAGGCAGAGGCAGGCGGATCTCTGTGAGTTAGAGACCAGCCTGGTCTACAGAGCTAGTTCCAGGACAGGCTCCAAAGACACAGAGAAACCCTGTCTCAATAATAATAATAATAATAATAACAAAGAGCTCATCATTCTATTACTACTATAGCATGTGGTGTACACCTATAATCCCAGCCCTTGGAAGGCTTAGGCAAGAGGATTGCCACAAACTCAAGGCCAGTCTGGTCTACTCAGCAGGGGCTGAAGAGACTGTTCAGCTGTTAAGAGCACTGGCTACTCTTCCAGAGGACCAGAGTTTGATTTCCAGCATCCTCATTTTGTCTCACTTTTGGGGCCCATGTGATACACAGAAACAGATACAGGCAAAACACCCACACATGTGAAATAAAGGTAAAATCCTATGGATAATATTTCCCAGAGCAACTGCTCCCCTTGCCCCCACCCCCCCACCCCCGCCCCGGCCCCACAGGGTTTCTCTGTGTAGGCTTGCTTGGCTGTCCTGGAACTAGCTCTGTAGTCCAGGCTGGCCTTGAACTCACAGAGATCCACCAGTCTCTGCCTCCTGAGTGCTTAGATTAAAGGCATAGGCTACCACTGCCTGGCCCTCCAGAGCCATTTTAAGTCTTATAAGAGAGAGCATTTTGGAAAGCAAAAGCTCAAGCTAACACAAAGCACTTTTAGACCTTCTGTGAAAAGACTTGCCTATTCCACTGGAGGCCAGAAGAGGGCACACCAAGCCAGGGAGATGGAGAGAAGAACTGTGTGTGGGGGGGAGGTTGTCCAAAGGAACCCAAAGGAATGTGTGTCCCTATTGTGACCCCTCCAGTGACTTCGTCCACCCTCCCAGGCCTGATATATAGTTACTTTGAGGGCCTTTTCACCTCTAGTGGTGAAGGAGCATCTGGATTCAACCCTAACCAGGACGCATTGAAGATGGCAAAGGGGCAGGAAATTAGAGGCTTCGAAACTTCAGGCTGCACCAGTCCTGGAGAGGTTCTGGGTGCTCTCAGGAGAGCTCAGGACTGGGAAGGGGCGAAAGAAGTCAGGGCTAGGAAAAGGCTGGGGAAAAACGGCAGCGTGCCAAAGATAAATTCTCATACTTTTTCTTTTCTCCACTCCCTCTGCAGTCTTCTCAGTCCTCATTCCCTGGGTACCACGTCTTCCTCAGACTTTGTACCTCACTCCATGCATTTAGTGCCAAACTGTGGTGATGCTTCAAATTGCCGTTTTCAACCAAAACACACCTTCTGAGAGGAGTGCTAGAAGCCTGAGCTCTGACACTAAAGAATGGGATTCCAACACCCGCACATATGTGAGTGTGTGTGTATGAGAGACAGACAGAGACAGAGAGAATGTGTCCACAATTGAGATAGGGTCCCATGTAGTTTAGGGTGCCTAATACCATGTAGCCAAAGATGATGCTGATTGACCTTCCTGCCTATACCCCCTAGGTGCCCGAATTACATGCATGCAATACCAGTGATCCGAATTCATTTATCATCCCTTTCTATGGAAGACCCAAGGACTCTTCCTATCTTCCAGCGTCCAGTTCCCTCCTCACCCCCCATCTTTTGAGTGCTGACTCACTCTGTTCCCACCCGCCCAATGACTCAGTCTCTTGGGCTCATCCCTGGGGTAGGGTGGGGCAGAGGGGGGCATTCAGTTCTGACCAGGTTTAAATAACAAGGCTGATTTGGCAGATTTCTTCTTTCCCACCTCTCTGGCTCTCTCCAGGCCCTCCAGGGTCTGTCCACTCTCCCCAGTCTAGACTGACTCAGTATCTTTTCTTCTAGATTTCAGGGATCAGGTACTTCCAACACTGGCACAGAACGAGGAGCAGGAGGTATTTGCCAACGTGTGGAACTGGAGTCTGAGGTTCCCTTTCCTCCTCCTCCGTTTGGAATCTAGGTCCTGTCTCAGCGTGGGCCACTAGAGTGGTGGAGATAGCTAAAACTGAAACTCTGCAGCCTCCTCCTACATGTGCCTTTCCCTCAGGAGAAAAGAAATAGGGAAAGGGAGAGTGGGGAGTCCGGTTTCCCTCATTCTCAGGTGTCCCTAGCCACATGCAGCCTCAAAGCTGTTCCCTGATCTTTCCACTTCATGGTCCGCTCAAGGCCTGGGAGGGATCAATGGGCCGGTCCCACAGGCTCGAAGTTGCCCACCTGCATCGATCCAGATTCCTGCCAGGAGAGACTAACGTCTGTCTCAGGTGGGCAGGTGGAAGGCGGAGTGGGACGTGAACTCACCCGACGGCCCCCTGGAGCGTTGACAGCGGCCCTGGCCCATCAGCAGAGCCCGCAAAGGTGTCTCTTCGTTTTCTCGCGGTTGGCACTGCAGTCCTGGGGCACACTTAGGGATGTAGACCCCGCACGGTTGCCCTTCTCTCCGGAGGCAACCCCCGGCTTCTGCACAGCCCTCTGCATGCGACCCTGCATCTTCCTCCTCCACGCAGCCCCCACGACAGTTGGTCTGCACCCCCGACCCTGAGCCGGCAGCGAGTAACAGGGTTAGCAACAACAGCAGCGGTAGAGGCGGCAGCCTGTCTCGGGTCATGGTCAGTGTTTTTGCCCAGTGCACTCCTTCCAGAGTGTAATGTGGCTGCTGCGGGGCCGTTGCTCCTCTGCTTTAAGAAGCAGCCCTTAAAAACCCCTCCCTTGAAAGCCAGGTGAAGCGGGAGGGAAAGAGGGCAGGGTCTCATTCCCTAAACCGGGTGGACTGGAGGGCCACCCACCTGGGTCCATCCGGCTCTCCCCTCAGCTGCTGTTTACTTCCCAAATTGTTCTGATTTTTTTTCTTGCTTTGTTCCTGGGAATCTCGCCCAGAATTTGGGAGCTGTTCATCTGGCTGAAGGGGCTGTGGGATAGGGAGGAGTGCAGGGAAGGACAGTGAACCCTGAAATCCAGTTAGCACGCCTGTTTGCACAGGAAGATGAAGGACCGATAGAAACCCCTTCGGAATGGAAGGCTGAGGGCTAAGTGTGAACCCAAAAGGAATCATGCTGGGGGATAAACACTAGAAGAGACCCAATTGGCCTCTGGGCAGAAGCTCCTACCATCGTCAAGAAGCAGACCTAGGAAGAAAGGGACGAAGTCTCCTGGCCTGTGTCTGTGGAAAAAAAAAATCGAGAGACTCCATCCCTAGTCTTTTGGGAAGATAAAAAGGCTGGGGAGCCGCAGGGAAATGAGGAGGATTATGAGAAATGCAGTGGCAGGGAAGGGGATCCTGATCCTGGGGGGTGTGGGGAAAAGCAGGGAATCATACTCTAGATGTGTTTAGGGATGGTCGTCTGGCCAGTCCTCACTGCCTCTCTGTCCTTGAGGTTAGCTTGTCCCTCCTTACTCTCCTTTCTCTCTCTGGATTCCTCAGATTGGTCTGTGCCCACAGGGTTGGGGGAGGGACTGACCAGGGGATTTCAGTCTCTCTATGTTCATTTGCCTGGCGGTCACCAATGGGCCAATCATCCCTAGGCATGGGTGAGCCAGTCCCCAGTACTACCTTAAAGTCTCAAGGAAGAAGAAGGATTGCTCCATTCACACACAAACATACAGACACACACACACACACTCACATCCCCACCCCCACACCCCACACACTCACACATACACACCCCACACACACTCTCACATACACACACACACACACACACACACAATTCTGAGTTACGCAACAGCAATCTCATTCTTTCCTAAAACAAGGGCTCTGGGCAGTGACTAAGAGTAAATGCTGGGCCCCCAAGCAAGAACATTAGCAAGGACTTCCTGAGCTTTTTAAGCAAATACAAAAATAAAAAGAACCTCCCCTGGCTACTCTGAGATTTTAAGACTAGCAGCATTTTTTTTGGAAAGTGATGATTTCCCGTTACCATGAGATACAGATACAGAGCAGGAAAAAGTGACAGCTATCTTCCACCAAGGTCCTGGAGCCTGCTTTCTGTGTTCTGACCCAGAGTAGAGAGCGTGGTTCCTATCCAAACTTTTATCCCTCTTATTTATTTATTCTTCCACTGCAAATGCTTCTGGCTAGGGCCTCTCTTAATGGATTCATGTTCCCTGCTTCTGAATATGTGAAAAAGTCTATGGAAGGCTGGGAAGGAGGACAACGACTCCTTGCTGGGGTCTCAGTGAGTCTTTTGAAGGACCCCCGTGTTCCACTAATGCCTAGCACCCACCACTGCGTCCTGTCCCTCCCCAATTTCCCTTCCTGTGGTTCTCTGCTCCCAGGGCTGTCTTGGTCCCTCTCTGCACCACTGCACAGTGCAGGAATCCACTTATTTTGGCGGGAATGGCAGGAACGTCCCCTTTCTTCATCCTTCAGGTGTGAGTGTCCAGAGATGCAGGACTGTTCCTGCCGGGGTACAAGTCTCCCTGAGGAGAGAAGTCCTTCAATTCTGCTAGTTCTCCTTTTGGGATGCCATCTGCCTTAGCACAGCGTGTGGAGTCTGCATGAGAATCTTTGCGGAGAAGCTGGTACCAGGGCTGACCTGGAAATTGGCCTCGGCCTATGATGTAGGTTTGCCCGTACACTTGGGAGGGACTCCTGTCACACACCACACATTTCTCATTACTGAAGCTCAATCTCACACGTCCATGCATCCCCAGGCACCGACGTCCTTTGGATAACGCGGGGTAGAGGGAAAGGACTGCCTGAACTATTTTCAGCTCTAAGTTTGACAAGAAGGCTGCATACCTGGGCAGGGAGAGAACATAGGTCTGGAGCAGGCCTGTTGGGATAGCCATAGCTGGAGTCCAGCCTGTTTCCCACCATTGCCTGTCCTGCTGACGTGCTGTCCTGGTTAAGTAATGGGCTCTTCTCAAAAGCATTGGGGTGCTCCACATGCATCCCCTCACCACAGAGCTCAGCTCTCACTCAGCATCTTAACCCTGAGGGTGGAGCTCTGTGAACGCCAGTTCAGCCAGCTAGCTGGGTCACCTTCCCCTGCAGCTTCTCATCTTGTGTCTGATAAAGGGACGTTAAGGGAGGCATAATTGGTTTTTCTTTTTCTTTTTTTTCGAGAATGGGTATCTCTGTAGTTTTGGAGCCTTTCCTAGAACTAGCTCTTGTAGACCAGGCTGGCCTCGAACTCACAGAGATCTGCCTGCCTCTGCCTCCTGAGTTCTGGGATTAAAGGTGTGTGCCAGGGCTGGAGAGATGGCTCAGTGGTTAAGAGCATTGGATGCTCTTCCAGAGGACCAGAGTTCAATTCCCAGCACCCACATGGCAGCTCACAACTGTCTGTAACTCCAGATCCAGGGGGCCTATACCCTCATACAGACATATATGAAGTCAAATGTGTATTAAATAAATAAATTAAAAAAAATAAAGGTGTGCGCCACCACTGCCCATAATTGGTTTTTCAAAGATAATTTCCTTCCCAAGTCTCCAAGCTTTAGGCTCAAGGGAACTAAACCCATTCTGGATTCTGCCACCTCTTGACCATCTGTGTGGCCATTTTGTATCTTTATACCTTTTGTTTGTTTTGTTTTTTTGAGACAGGGATAGTCTTGACTATCCTAGAACTCACTCTGTAGATCAGGCTGGCCTCGAATTTACAGAGATCCGTCTGCCTCTGCCTCAGCCTCCTGAGTGCTGGGATTAAAGGCATGCACCACCATGCAGGCAGAACAGGCCTTTTTTATATGTCACTGGCTCTTGAATAATGATGTGCAGAGTTTTTATTAATTATGAAAGCTTGACCCTAGCTTAGGCTTATTCCCAACTAGCTCTTAAAACTTAAATTAACTTGTTTATAAAATCTGAGTTTTGCCACATTGACTCTCTCCTCACAACTGTATGACTTCCTCCACATCTGGCTGGTGAATCTCTTGTGCCTCAGATTCTTTTCCAGAGTTTCTATCTCTTCCTGGAAGTCCCACTTATCCTCCCCTGCCTAGCTATTGGCCATTCAGCTCTTTATTGAGAAGGAGCCTTAGGCAGGTGAGGAAGGACAGAAACACATCATCACACTGTATAAAAAGATCATCTCCACAAGGGCTGGGAGGGATGGTAGGGAACACAGGCAGAGAGCCCAAGGTGGAGGAGCAGGGAGGTGCATGTGTGTATATGTGTGTACTTACGTGTTCTAGATTCCGCTTGCCTTGAGGACACCAGTGAGAGGAGAGCTGAGAATGGAGCAGAGTCACGCTCTGGGAGTTAGGAATGATCAGTGAACAAAAAGTAGCATGTGGAGATCTGTAAACTGCTTTGTGTAGTTAAATGAATAAAAACAGATGTAGCTATTTTTACATGAAATTATTAAATATATTTACAGAACACCTGCTTACATGACTGTAACTGGAAGATGTGGACACAATGGAGATTGTGCTCCCAAGGAATTTAGTGTTGCCGTTTGTTGATCCACTGCATCTTTAAAAACAAACTAATTGATTTGATTAATATGCTACACGTTAATGGAGTACCATGTGAGGTTTTTTTTACATTTTTTATTGATTTTTATTGAGCTCTACATTTTTTCTCTACTCCCCTCCCTGCCTCCCCCCTCCCCCAAGGTCTCCATGCTCCCAATTTACTCAAGAGATCTTGTCTTTTTCTTTTGCTTTTTCTTTCTTTTTTGGATTTTCAAGACAGGGTTTCTCCAAAGCTTTTTGGTTCCTGTCCTGGAACTAGCTCTTGTAGACCAGGCTGGCCTCGAACTCACAGAGATCTGCCTGCCTCTGCCTCCCGAGTGCGCCACCACCGCCTGGCAATCTTGTCTTTTTCTATTTTCTACTTCCCATGTAGATTATATCTCTGTAAGTCTCTCTTACTGTCCGCATTGTTGTCTAAATTCTCTGGGATTGTGGTTTGTAGGCTGGCTTTCTTTGCTTTATGTTTAAAAACCACCTATGAGTGAGTACATGTGATAATTGTCTTTCTGTGTCTGGGTTACCTCGCTCAAAATAATGTTTTCTAGCTCCATCTATTTTTCTGCAAAATTCAAGCTGTTGTTATTTTTTCTGCTGTGTAGTACTCCATTGTGTAAATGTACCACATTTTCCTTATCCATTCTTCAGTCGAGGATCATTTATGTTGTTTCCAGATTCTGGATATGACAAACAAAGCTGCTATGAACATAGTTGAGCACATATCCTTGTGCCATGATTGAGCATCCTTTGGATATATCCCCAAAAGTGGTATTACTGGGACTTGAGGAAGATTGTTTCCTAAATTTTCTGAGAAATTGCCACACTGACATCCAACAGAGGAATCTAAAATGGCTGAAAGACACTTAAGGAAATGTTCAACATCCTTAGTCATCAGAGAAATGCAAATCAAAACAACTCTGAGATTCCATCTTACACCTGTAAGAATGGCCAAGATCAAAAACACTCATGACAACTTATGCTGGAGAGGTTGTGGGTAAAAGGGAACATTTCTGCATTGCTGGTGGGAATGCAAGCTGGTGTAGCCCCTTTGGATGTTTGTCAGGCATTCTAGGCTGTAGGCTCAAAGTGCATACCCCAGTGTTGCAGAGGAACTTTGGGTGACTGTTCATGCAGTCAGCTGTTTTTGTCATTTCTCACAATTTTTGGAAGTCGCGTGCTCACATTTTCTGCTTATTCAGTTAAAATTATTTCCTTCTTGGGTCTCTGAGGGAGTTGAAGACTAGATAGTTATAGTTGTAGTTTTCCTGTTTACCTGATGCAGAAAGCAAGTTATGATAGAAAACAAATTAGGTGCAAGATTTTGGACTCAGCAAGATAAGATAGATAATGGAGTATTTTCTCTGAATTTGTCAAATGCAAATGGACTAGACATTGCTGATGCATTTATTGACTGTATATATTATATGTAGTTATTGAACTTAATGTATATAGTTTTTCTTATATTAGTTCTAGCCTTCTTTTTTATTTTAGACAAAAAAGGGAAATGTAGTAATATATTTCATTTGTATTTTAATAAATAAAGCTTGCCTGAAGGTCAGTGCAAAACAGTCACACTAGTCAATCATACAAGTCAGGCAGTGGTGGCACATGCGTTGAATCCCAGCAGCTACACTAGTCAGCCATAGAGGCTGGGTGGTGGTGGTGGTGCACGCCTTTAACCCCAGCACCAGAGAGGAATATAAGGCAGGATGAGACAGTAACTCGCTTTTTTTAAGTCTGAAGATTTCAAAGAAGTAAGAGCTCTCTAGTGGCTGCTTTTGCTTTTCTCATCTTCAGGTTGTATATCTGTCTGAGTTTTTATTATTCATGCTCAGGGATTATTCTGAGCTTGGAGGGAGACGAGACACAATGACACACACACACACACACACACCACACTGATCTGAATAAATGAGGTGCTAGGTCTGGTGAGATGACTCAGAGGAGAAAGGCGTTTGTTGCCAAACCTGAAGACCTCTGTTCAACCCCTGGCCCCACCTGGTGGAAGGAAAGAACCAAGTCCTGCAAGTTGTCCTCTGAGCTATACACATAGGCCAAGCCAGCCATGCACCCCCACCCAGTCCAATAAACAAATTAGTAAGCCGGGCGATGGTGGCGCACGCCTTTAATCCCAGCACTCGGGAGGCAGAGGCAGGCGGATCTCTGTGAGTTCGAGGCCAGCCTGGTCTACAGAGCTAGTTCCAGGACAGGCTCCAAAGCCACAGAGAAACCCT